CAATTTTTAATATAACTCCGACTGGATTCGTCTGAAAGAAGAAAGTCATATACACCTAGGATGCCTCGGGGGTGAGTGAAACGCAGCCTAATTTTCATTCTGAGGTGAACTAACCTAATTAAGACGCATATGGGAAAAAGCCCTTTTTCTCCTGAACTGAAGCCTATTTCATTCACGCAGTGAAACGAACTGCTGCGTCGCTGTAGCGGCGGAGAAGCAGGTCAACTGTGCTGAGAGGTCCCGATTCCAGCTGAGAAGGCGTGTCAACGGCGAGCAGGCTTTCAGGATCAGCGATGAGCGTAGAGTCGTCGCTGAAGGAGAAAAAATCTAAGAAGCTTGTGGAAAAAAGGCTTTTTCCCATATGCGTCTTAAGCAAGACGCAGCACGAGTGAAGTATCGAAAGGGAACTTGTATAATACATAGCCTATCAAAAAAAAAAAAGGTACTGTATATGATTTTGTAAAGAAGAGAAGCAATCGTCTGCAATCTCCCTAACTGATGACTTATCTGGGATCTGATAATCTTAACTCTCTAGTCTAGACGATTCCTAATAAAGGAATTTACGTAAACTAATAAACGGTTTTGCTGTCATTATGGTTACATAACATCTTTTTTCTGGCATGGTATTTTGCAGAGGAAACTGGTAAACCTCTGATAATGCCCACAGTAAAAGCATTTTTTTCTAATTTTTTTTCCCACTCATGAAAAATATTAGTTTTAAAGCTAATTAATGCACTTTTATTAGCAAATTAATTAGCTGTATTTTATAAGGAAATATGTTCTTTGCCTAACTGTGCGAATGGACACAAGTAGAACCAATATGGACAATATGTTATACAGTATAATTTTGTATTATCCATTATCCAATCTTTTTTTTTAAATTGCTTTTTGATTTTATTAATGATTTTACATGCTTTCTTCAGTCTGATCAGGATTGTGCCAAAACTAACCAAAACAATCAGTTTGCATTAAAAATGTTTTCCTGACGTGACCACTCTAAAATTCAATTCAACCCACTGATGAACTATCACTCCCGTGAGGAGTCGGACAGATGTGGGAGCAGATGAATCTGTGGAAAACATGACTTCGACATGCGTGAGAGACCCTCGGGACACGCCAGGAAGCAAATGGTGCAAAACAGGGGACAGAGTTGACCTTGTGTGCTTCGGATGACATGGCAGACTGTGAGAAATGTACCACAAGGAAATCGAACGAGGATTTCCGAACATGTGGGTGAGATTTAATAACACACTAAACATCAAAACACACACATTTAGTCGTGTAAACTGATTGTTTTTTTGCGAAAACAAAAGCCTTAGCATGTGATGTTTCAGCACAAAACCTGTGTCTTACACACTACGCACCCGCAATCCAGTTTAAGCAAGCATTAAATGCACTTAAATAGCACTGCGCTTGTATTTAGATTCAGTCACTGTCATTATTTTCAATGCAAATTAGGCTTATTATACAATGCACCTTGTTCACAAACCTCAGCACTTTTTGTAAAAGGCAGCGTGTGCAAAAAAACAACTCTATCAGCGGGTGCAATTTATTCTTAGTGAATTTCATAAAGATTCATTTCGGATCTGCTTTAACAATTAATCTGGGTCAAAACTGTGTTTGCTCACCTGAAAGGACTCTAGGAAAGAGTTGAAGTAGATGAAGACAATCTGTGAGATCTCATCCTCGCCTGGGTTGACGAAGAACAGCATGTATGTGATGCCCAGCAGCGGCAGAAGAACCAGTGTGGCCTTTACTGCTTTCCTGTGAGAGTCAGAGACGTACAGATGATGATAACAGACCAAACTCAGAAATAAAAGTCTTGTCTTTAGAAATGAGAAAAATTAGTAAATAAAACAAGATTATTCAAGAGTCTTACAAGAAAATAATGTTTTTTTAGCCTTTCTACGCATGTTTGATTCAGTGTGTAAATTGCCATTTTTTTTGTAATTATTTTCTAAATTAACTAGAATTTCTGAGTGAAAATTGTTTCAAAGAAACACAAATGCAAAAAAAAAAAAAAATCCAACCATTTTTCCAGAACACTCTCTTTGTCTGTAATTGAAGAGCCAAAAGTACACACAGTTTTACGATTTTAAAGACATATTTTAAAGGAAATAAGTTGAAAAAGGAGGTAACACTTTAGTATAGGGAACAATTCTCACTATAGTTGCTTATTAGCATGCCTATTAATAACATATTGGCTGTTTATTAGTACTTAGAAAGCACATATTCTGCATGACCATATTCTACATCCCTAACCCTACCCATTACCTAAACTTAACAACTACCTTATTAATTATTAATAAGAATCAAATTAGCAGTTTATCAAGGCAAAAGTCATAGTTCATGGTTTGTTAATTGCGAGAATTGGACCTTAAAATAAAGTGTGACCAAAAAGGAAATAATCTTTTCTACTTTATTTTATACTGTGGTCAGCATTCACATTAAAGTACGTCTTTCTAAATTTCTTATTCTTAATTTTTGTTTTAAATTATACTCAAAATAAGTATAGACAGTTTTAACCTTAGAAAATTATATTATATTATATATTTTTATTTTATTTTATTATATTTATTTAAATAAATGAAATGAGGCATGTCATCAAATATTCAATATACAAAAATAATCATCCAATTAAAACCACATTTAACAAACAAACTTTAGTTTATTCCATAAAATAAGACAAAAAAGTAAAAAAAAAAAAAAGTTACACAAAATAATGTCACAGTAGCTAATACATAAAGAGTTCAACAGGATGACATTGAGATGAAGTTGGTTTAAGCAGTATGTATTGCATTTGCTATGGGCCACTGACTGTGTCAAAGACGTTAGTCATAGCTGGAGGGAATATGAGCACCACACACACACACACACATGCACGCACGCACGC